GGCCCTGAGGCATGAACATCTCTTGTCCCCTCAGCCCCATGCTCCCCTCGGAGGCTTGGTGGATACCACCTTGGGGTGCTGGGCAGACTTCCTGGGGACGCTGCCCACCTCGGCTAAGTTACAGGGCTGGATAGAGACTATTTGGGCTTTAAGAGGTGTGGTGGCCTGTGAGCCCCAAGCTGGGGACTAAGTGGGCAAAAACCCCATAGTGAACACCCAGGGCCTGACTTTCACTGCAAGTGGGGAGGCTGTGAGCTGGTTCCCGCCCTGCCTGGGGCCCGCACAAAGCCCGCCTGGGCTGCTCAGCCTCCCTGTGCTGCCCAGTTGGCACGGAGCAGGGTTCTAACAAGGGGGAGCATTGTGGCTGCTGGCTTGCGGCCGCAAACGGGGCGGCCAGAGCCTTTCCCAGAGCTTTGCTGGGCAAGGGGTGGGGCGTGGGTGTCCTTCCAGAGCCTCGTTACTCTCCTGACAGTGGCCTGGTCCCGGGCTGGGGTCTACCCCACTGACTAATGCTGATGTGCCTGAAGCTGGCAGAAGGCCCTCCTTGGGCCCCCAGGACACCCCCTTCTGGGGGCACCTCCAGGGAGGGACTGGGCCCTGAGACACATATTCCTTTTGCCCCGGTAAACTGCTCCGTGGACCGCAATGCTTCTCAAGAGAGGCCATGTCACCAAAGGCTTTTCTGTGTCCTCACTTCCATGAAGACAGGCAAGAACAGGCCTTTGCTTGCCCTGGACAGCAGCCCCAGTGCCCTGTGAGGGGGGTGTGCCAGGCTCCCAGCTGTGCCCAGGACAGGCCCACAGGACCCACGCGGGCCCAGGGAAGCATGACTTTGGCACCCAGCCGTAGGTGGTGCTGGCATCTGTTCTCAGACCAGCATTCCTGGTCAAGAGTCTGGCCACGGGGACCCCACCTGCTACTTCCCTCCTGCTGACCAGGCCCCCCAGACACTGAGGGCAGGAAAGAGCCTCCAGGACTCAGACAGGTGGGCAGGGGGCTCCAGCCCCTCATCAGGGAGGGCATTGCACCCCTCAGGCTTCCACACCCGCAGATGTCTGCAGACACCTGCCCTGTGCCAGGTTCCCCGCTAGGCCAGGGCCAGGGCAGTGGGCAAGATGCAGAGCTGCACTTGGGTGGGCAGGGAGTATACGAGAGGGTTAGTACCAGGGTTGGGTCGGGAAGAGCTGGCTGGCAATGGTTGTCTCCTGTATGAGAGGGTCAGGAAGACCCACAGTCCATGGATGTCTGGGCAGAGACCCAAAGGAAGTGACGGAGTAGCTGGGAAGACGTTAGGGAAGGCCAGGCAGTGGGAATAGCAGGTATAAAGGCCCTGGGGCGGACGTCTGCCAGCAGCTGGAGGGCCCATGCGGAGCCCAGTGTGCCCAGAGCCGTAGAGGGACCAAGTATGGCTGAGGGGTGGGGAGCCGGGGCCTGGCCACTGCAAAGTGGGAGGAGAGTTGGGGGGGCCACGGGGGCCTGAGTGGGGGAGGGATGTGATCTGACACGTTTAGAAGCATCTCTGTGCTTCTGTGTTGTGACAGACTGGGCTGGAGCCAAGAGTGGGGGAGATGGGAGACCAGATTCGGGGTGCTGCAGTAAGCCGAGGAGAGGGGGCCCGAGCTGGGGGTAGCAGTGGAGGTGAGAAATGGTCACCTCCGACACAGTTTAAGGCTGGTGGAGTTGTAAGACTGAGGGCAGGGTGGGCCTGGCTGGGGGGAAGCCCAAGGTGGTTGGACTGAGCAGCTGGGAGAGTGAGCCGCCATTGTCTGAGGTGGGGGGTGGGGGTGGGAAGAGCAGTTTGGGGGCACGGTTAGAGGCTCTGTTCGGCTGTGTCATGTTGGAGAGGCCCTCAGACCCCCACGTGGACAGGTTGATGAGCAGCTGGCCATGGGGCTCTTAGGTTCGGGCGTCTCATGGGCCTTAACCCTTCTTGGAGATGAGCCTCAGATGGAGGAAGTGAGCCTCTTTCCAGAACTGATGAGCAGTGTATGCATACCTGCCTCTTTGCAGTTTGGGGGCCATGTACCCCTGCAGTCCACACACAGAGCCCTGGGGACCCAAAGCCCTTGGGGTGGGAGCTCCTGCACCACACAGAGGCCAGGAAAACAAGCGTGGAGCAAGCAGTCTGATGCGTGGTGGAGCAGCCTCTGCTGACTAGTGTGTCAGCAGGGTCCCTGGGAGAAGGGCCCACCTCCAGACCTCCTCTCCATCCAGTCACCCTGTCAGGTCTCCACTGAGCCCTCAGACCCCACAGCACTGCCGCAGCACCCAGTGGGCTGCTGAAGGCCCCCACCATGCCGGGGAGACTGGGCAGGTTGGACCAGGCCGGTGAGTTGGTTATCTCTGCCTCCCTCCCAGGGGCCCCCAGAGCCCCCTTCCCTGAGGCCCCACCTTGGTGGCTTAACAATTCGCAGACTTATCTCCTGTGACTTCCCCATCCCTCAGCTTGATGTTTCCTGGAGGAAAAGAGGAAAAACAACCCACAGGCCATGAAAACTCAGGACCAGACGCCAGTACCTCCCTGAGCTGAGAAAACTCACTGGCACTGGTGTCTCAGAGAGGCTCTGGCGCTGATCAGATCCCTTAAGGGGGTCTGTGGCCGCCTGGCCTGCTTATCGGTCGGCAGTAGGCTGCTGGTTCACAACATCTACATAACCGTAATGATAAAGTGAAGTTGCCATGGAGGCTTCTAGTTGGGGCCTGGGAGTGAGCCCCAAGCTAGCTGGACTTTTCTCATCAGTAAAACAGGGAGAGAAAGAGCTGACCTCACAGGCTCACTGTGAATATCAAGTTAGATATCACGCACAGAACATGTGGCACCAGCCTGCAATTGAGGTGTTTGGTATTGGCATCTAATACCATCCAGTGGGCGCACGTGCATGTGTACACACACATACACACAGGGGTGCCCTGCACCAAGCCCCGTTATCCTTGGGGAACAGGTTTCTGGTTATCTGCTGTCTGCTAAAAACTTTTAAATATTTTCCAAATGTCCTCTATTTAACAGGAAGGATTTAATATTTAGAAAAGAAAAGTGATGAAAATAATCAGAATGTGCAAATATGTGAGCAGGCTGCCCAGGAGGGCAGGCGCCCTGCCAGGAGCCTAGAACAGGCATCACCCCTCCCCCTGTCTGCACCTTGTGCTGGGAGATGGTTACATGTCTAGACTGTCTGCAGTGACCGCAGACCATTCCCCGGGGAGGCACGGCCTAGTGGATGGCTGCCTGTCCTGGCCCCAGGGCTAGAAGCCCTAGAGACAGTTGTCTGCACACACTTGTCATTTGAAGGAGTCCTGATTTCCCAGAGGCCCAGGGAAGTCTGCACTACTCAGACCCTAAAAGGGCTCAGGATCCTGTGGGAACCCTGAGACTGCTCAGCTGCCCTGGCCAAGGCGCTTGGCCCTTCTCCCCTGACCTGGGCCCCAGAGCCTTCTCCTGGTCCTTGTGCTGAGCAAGTGGCATTACTGTGTTGGCAGCTTACCTCTCTCACTTGTGCCTGCTGGACCATGTGACCACATGCTAAGCCATGTGCCTGTCTTTGCAGCAGGCAGAGCCCGAGCAGACTGTCAGACTGTGGGTTGGGAGCGGCCTGGGCTGGGCTCGGGGTGTGGCAACTGGAGGGTGTTTAGGTCTAAGTGGGATTCTGGTGATGTGCGGACTCCTTGAGGGCTCACACCTATTCCCCAGAGGGCAAGGCAGGAGTGGGTGGGGGCATGTTTTCTGTGCAGATGTTTTCTGGGCTGAGGTCAGTCTATGATTAAGGTCAAGGACCCAGCTTGAGGCTGGGGACTGGAGACCTTGGACCAAATTTTGATCATTGTCCTAGGAATGACCTTGGCTAACTGTCCTTCAGGAATTTAGCCCTAGCCTCTGGTCCCCCCAGGGGCTCAAAATTAGCTCTGGGAGTGGGGTGGGCATCCTGCTTTTCTCATGAACCCCTCCTCCCCATTACCCCGTGCTCAGGGTCCCTGAACTGGTGCCATTTTCATGAGGGGATGCGGGTGTGAGTGAGGGACCCAGGCTGCCTTTGACCTCAGAGGACCACCTGTTCTGATCCTCACCCACCCCCACATACACACCAGGGTTCGGGTGGGGGCGATTAAGGAGACATGGGTGTGTTGCCGGTTTTATTTTCGCACATTTGTTTTAAAACCGCAGGTATGTCTACCGGTGTACGACCTCCGGTGCACGGGGGGCAGCGAGGGGCAGGCGGCTGGACTAGTCGCTGGGGCGCCCGAATCCCGCCGGGCCTGAAAGTAGCCCCCGGCCGCGTCTACTTAGCTCTCAGTTCCCCGGCCCACGTAGGAGGCTGGCGCCCGGCGCCCTGTGCCTGACTCCTGCAAGGGCGCTCCCGCACCCGCGCTTGCACCGCGCCGCGCACCGGAGCCTGCCCCGGACAAACGAAGCAGCCGCGGGGTGGGGACGCTCCAGGGCCGGGGCCTCCGGGCTTCAAGGTCCGCGTGGGGGCCGGAGGGTCGGGGAGGGTGTGGGTCGGGCCAACACCCGGTGCCAGGCAGGAGCTTGGGAAGGTGGGGCACAGAAGCGAAGGGTGCCGTCCCCACCCCCGCCAGGGACCCCCGTTCCCGCTTGCGACTCCTTGCCCCACCAACGCCCGAATCCGCCAGGGAACCCTTCTCCCCAGCCCCTGTCCCCGGTGTCCCTCGCGGAACCCCCGACCCTCCTCCTTCGTCCCCGCCCGGGACCCTCCGATACCCTTGGCCCACCCGAGAACCCCCGCTCGGGACTCCATCCCCGACCTCCGCCCGGGACACCCCGTTTGCCAACCCTGAGCGCGCCCAGGACCCTTCGCCCCAATCCCTGTCCCCGGCCCCGCCCGGGACCCCAGCGCGCCGGACGCCCACCCGGCGCCGGGGGCGCGCCCCGGGGCGGCGAGGGCGCGCGCGCGCGGCCGGCGCGCTGTCCCTTTAAACGGCCCGCGGCGCCTCCCCGCGCCCCTCCCCGCGCCCCGCCCCGCCGCGGTGCGGCCGGTGCTGGGCGAGGCCGGAGAAAGTCCATGTGAGCCGGAGCGCGGGGACGGCTGCACTTCCTGCCGCCGCAGGCCGGACCGGGCCGGGCGCCCGCAGGTACGCCAGCTCGGCGCCGCGGGCCGGGGTCGCCGCCGCGCACTTCCCGCAAACTCCGGGCGCGCCGGGCCGCCCAACTCGGCGCGGGCCGACCTCGCTGCCGCAGCGCCGCCGCGGCCCGCAGCCAAGTTCGCGCCGCCGGCCGGGGGGGGGGGCGGGCGGCGGGCCCGGCCTGGGGAGGCGCCCCGACGCGCCCCGGCCCGCGCACCCAACGGCCGGCCCGGGGCGGCTCCCTCTCGCCGGGCTTCTCGGGGACCCTCGGGACGCCCCACCCCCCCCACCGGGCGGACGGGGCCCAGCTGCGGTGGGGAGGCCCGAGGGACACACCCCTCCCGGCCGGGGGTCCGGGCCGGCCGCGCCTCCGCCCTCCGTCGGGCCCTGCGCCTCTCCCTCCCGGTCCCGGGGGCCCCTTTCCGGCGCGTCAGTACCCCCGCGTTCCGCTCGCGCCGCCCTCCACCGGGGGAAGGCCTGGGGGCCGCCGTCCGCCTGGGGAGAGGGCGCCCACCTGTCACCCGCTGCTGTGTCCTTGCGGAGCTGAGGTCTGGGGCTCAGGCCGCCTCCCCAGGAAACTCAGAGGTGACCTCTGGGCCCGCTGCCTACCCCCGTGGCCAAGGCAGGGGCCCCCAGGTCTGCCTGGAGGCTGGGGGGCGTGGGGTCAGAGGTCACCTCCAGGTCCCCTCTTACAGGCTTCTCAGAAGTTCGGTCACAGAGAGTTGGGACTGGTGATTGCCGACTCTCTCCTGATGCCCTTTCATTAAACCTGTGGATTTGCCGTTGTTCAGTCTCCTGGCCGATCCCGTGGCCCCCTCCCCCTCCTGCTGGGGTCTGAGGTGTTTGCCCTTGTGGGCAGTTGGGCGGCTTCGCCCTGTGGTATTTCTTGGGACACACTGGCACCCAGCATGTGTCCCCTGGCTGCGTGTTCTAGCTGAGGCCATGCTGGTGCGATGTGGGGCTGGGCTGGGGGGCAGCGCTTCCTGCCCTCAGAGTGCGCCCCATCCAGGAAGGCTGGTGGTTCTAGCGCCCTGCCAGCACCTCGCTGGGCCCGCGCCCTGCCACCCACTCCCCAACTTCCCAGGCTGCTTGGCCTCCGGACCCCTCGCTCTGCCCTCCCTCCCGGTTGGCCCAGGTGATGACTGCAGGAAGCCCCAGGTGTTTCTCCCAGCTCTGGGTGGGGTGTTTTTTCAGCCTCACCAGGACTCCAGGAGACGTAGCTTCCATTATTGGCTCCATTTTGCAGGTGGGGAAAAGTGTCGGCAGGAAGGAGCCAGGTTGGGGGAGCAGGCGAGCATCAGGCAGCAAGGTGCTGCCTTCAGCCTTCCGACCAACCAGCACCCCCTTCTCCCCGTGCTCTCTGGGTGTCCGTCCCCCCCAGGAGGCCCGTTGGCATCTCCCCATGGGTCATTCCACCAATGGGTGGCACTTCGGCTGGGGCCTGAGCACCGAAAGTCGACAGCAGCGAGACCGTTCCTTTGGTGAGCCTGCTGGAGGGGGCACAGGAGTAGAACCCTTGTCGCCTCTCGTGGCCAGAGATCTGTTTTCAGTGGTCACACCCAGGGTGGGGACAGTGCTGGACGGAGTGTCTGGTACAGTGCTGACGCTGAGCCATCTCGCCTGTCCTAGACTCTGCAGGCGTTTGTCACTCTCCTCTGAAGGGTGGTTGAGGAGGAAATGCTTGTGTATCTGACTGGGACCTCTGGGCCACCACTAGCAGCCCCAGATGTCCAGGTTACGGCCATGCTGGAGGGTGTGCTGGGCAGGAGGGGGAGAGCCCAGCTCTGGGAGGCAAGCTCATAGATGACTTTTGACAAAATCCTGCAAAGCTCTCTTCCAATGTCCAACTACAACACAAACTCCATCATTCATTCGTGTAAGAGTCCCTGATGGCCAGTCCTGGGCTGTGTTCGCATCCTGGGTTCCTCTCACATCTTGGCCTCTAGGGTCCTGCGGCCTTGATGGTGGGCTGGGTAGGCCTGGGACCCCCTCGTGGGACAGGTGAGAACTGTGACCCTGACACTTTCCGGGGTCCCAGGGCCCCCACCTGTGCCCCTTGCTTTGCGTTCCCATCATGCAGGGGCTGCACAGGGCAGGACCCCGCGTGGCCCTGGGCGCCCTGTTGCAGTCCCTGGCGTCTGCCATTAATAGAGCCAACCACCCCATGCCAGCAGTCCTGTCCCCGCCACAGCCACTCCCTATCGGCCCCTCTGGCTCGGTCTGTGCCCCCTCACCTGGGCTCTGCTCCGCCTGGTGCTCCCTGGGCTCTGTTGTCCCTTTGCACTGTACGGAGTGGGGTGAGCCGCCCGCGTGGTAGGCAGTGTGGTGAGAGTCTGCCGAGCCGTCTGAGCATGAACTGCAGCAGCCCAGATCGCTTCCCCTCACCCCGGAGCGTTCCAGCATGTTTCTCCCAGGGGCCAGGGCCTTCTGCAGACTCTCAGTGTGATGGGACTGCTTGGGAAGTTTGACCATGGCTGAGTTCTCTGGGCAAGACCAGCTGCCTTCCCATTCAGAGCAGTGTTGGCTGGCCTGGACCTGGCTCACTCCCAAGGCTGGCCGTCCCTGGGGGGTGCTGGGACTGGTCTTCCAGGCCTGGTCTTTTGAAGGGAGCCGAGCCCTGTGGTGTGGTTTCCCAAGGCAGGAACAGGTGCCCCCAGCCCCCAGCTAGACCCAGAACTGCTAGTCAGCCCCTCTTTGGGAGCTTGGGGCTGGGGGCTGGTGAGGGGCACCAGGGCTGTTTAGGGCTGGCTCACTTGGCCCTTGCCCCAGCCGAGCCTGCTGGTCCATTGGGGTCTGTGTTCTGGACCCCCCCAGCACCCTCTGGAGCCCCTGATTCCTGTCTGGTGCCTTTCCAGGCACCCTCTGGTTCTCCCGAGGTGAGCAGTCCAGCCCTGGGGTGCTTCAGGTGGGGTTGCACCTTAGGGTTAGAGCCAGTGCTGCCTTCACTGGCTCTAGTGCCTGGTTCAGGGAGGTGTGCACCCACACGGGGTCCCTGGACGAGGCCTGTGCCCCCCACCCCTCTTTTCTTTCCCTTTTGGCATGTCCGAGCCACTATGGGGGTGCCTGGGAGGTTTCATCCTCCTTTGTGGACCTGGGCTCCAGGGACCTGGGGTGCTGGCTGGGAAGCGTCCAGATTAATGAGGCCTGAGGCTGAGCAGCTTGGGGATCGGCAGGGACGCCAGCGACTTCTGTTTTTCTTTTACCAAGTTCCTGCTCTCAGGAGCGGGCTCTCCAGTCATCTGCAGAGCATGCCTCCTGGCTCACCTAGGCTTTCCCTGTGTTCCGTGCTTGCTGGGAGCTGGGCTTTCTCTGCTTCGGCCTCTGGCCTTTCTCGTTAAAATTTCCGGTTTTGGAAGTTGTGCCCTGTGGGTGAGGATTTCAGCAGGCTGTGGGGGTGGGAAGACAGAGGTGTCTGGAAGTCGAGGTCCTTGACATTTGGGACGTGAACTTTGGAGCGGGCTGCCTGGTGGGCCGCCTTTGAGGGGACAGTGTTTGAGGACGAGGGCAGTGCCCAGGCCTGACTGCTTCTGAGCAGAAGGAATGGAGAGGGAATGTGACGGTGACTCCGGGACCCCCTGCCCTTCCGTTCGCTGGGCCTGAGTCCAGGCTGGAGCAGTGGGAGCAAGAGCTTGCCCCATGGTCTCTCTCAGGTTGTATCCAGCCCAAGGCTGTGTGACCTGGGATGGGTAACTTACCCTCTCTGAGCCCTGCTCAGGCCTGTGTATTGGGATGCTACTGAGGAGTGTCCTTATTTGGTGCTGGGAGGCTGCTGGGAGGCTGGGTTGCCCTGCGGAGGCCCTCTGGGGTGCCCCTCCCTGGCAGGAGCTGAGCCAGTGGGGGCACATGCCCCTTTAAAGGGGAGGGTGCTTCTCAGGCTTCAGGGAGGACAGAGGCATACTTTTCTCCCACAGGGGGCGGAGGGTGGCTCTGGGTCTCTGAAGGGATCTTCCCCCTCCCCTTGGCCCTGGGTCCTGGCATCCGGGAGGGCACTTGGCCCCCTTAGGGCTGGAGCTCCTGGGCCCAGCCCAACGCCTGCCTGGGTGCCTGGGAAGCAGGCAGGGCCGGGGGGCGGGGACCACAGGGGCTGAAAGTGCCCATATATAGTCACTGGGCTTGAGCAGTGAGCAGGGCTGGCTGCGGGGCTGGGTCGCAGGCCCAGCTCCCAGGTCCCGGAGGACATCCTGTCTGGGGAGGGTGCTGAGGGGTGCTGGATTTGGGGTAAAACATGAGATACAGCAACAGACACAGGTTTGGCTCTAGGACTGTTTGTTGATTGAAAATAAAAATCACCCGGGCCCTAGGTTGTCATCACCATCTTTGAAAGCTGGAGGCAGTAATAGGTGGCTGCTGCGTTGGCCAGAGCTGCCTGGGGGCCCTCGCTGTGGGTGTTGGCCGGATGTCTGCTTGTCCATAACCCCAGTTCTTGCCCCACAAAATGCCCCCCGATTATGGCAACAACCATGGATGTACCCTTCCCTATCCCCACAGTACCGGTGGCCCTCCCTGCTGGTGGCTGGTATTTTCTGGAAGAGTGCCTCCCTCCCTCCGTCTCTGGACGTTGCCTGGAGGCCAGCCAGTGGGGAAGGGGATGGGCCTGGGCGCTGCTGGGATGGGCTTCGGCGGAAGTCCGCTACCCTGTGCCTCTTGGTCGGAGCAGGAGGAGGTTGTCGTGGGCTTTCTCATGTGCGGGGTCCCCCTGCAGCATCCCTCGTGGTCATAGTCCCCCACCCTGGCCCTTAGCATCTGTCCAGCCCCGCCTCCCTCGCTGGGCGCCTGTTTCTGTGCCAAGGGAGAAGTGACCGCCTTTGCCGCATTCCTGACTTTGGTGCTGTTAAGAAATCACAATGTTCACATAGTTTGATTTAGTTTCCATTGCACTGCTGAACGAGAGGCGCCTTTGTTAAATTTTGTATATTGATACTTTTTGTTGTTGTCAGCAGTTTTTTCTTCCTTTTTTTGGATATAAAGCCATTAGGGAGAGAGAAGATTAAAAAGATACATTACAATTAAAATGTTAATGAAATCTGCATCATACAACTTTTGAAACCCTTTGGGCATTAATCCTGGCTGTGTCACGTCCATTAACTTGGGCTATTCTTATTCCACACTGACCCCTGCTGAGAGATTTGTGCTATAATTGGATTTTTTTAATAAAAAAGAAAAAAAAAGCTTTTAAGAGAATAGAGGTTGAGTGGTGGCCCTAGCTCCTAAATGGGGAGAATAAAGGGGGGCGGGATGAACTCTTACCCTATGTTGGGCACCCCTGCTGAGTGCGGGGCCCCCCACTGCTGTGGACGCCCAGCCTGGTAGCCCAGGGGAACACCAAGTGTGGTTGTGCATGTGTGCTCCGCCGCCATCTGGCCCCTTGGTGAGTGACACCTGTGCCAGACCGAGGATCACCTGTGTGCCTCGGGCTGCATCAGGGTGTGGGTGTGTCAAAGCCGACGGTGAGCTCACCTTCCTGGGGAGAGGACAATGGGTGAGGGTGGCAGGAGTGCCCTGGCCAGGCCCGTGGTGCAGCGTGGAAGGGCTGGTGGTGCCGAGGCCCAGAGAGTTTTGAGTTCTCAGGTTCTGTGTCGCCCGTGCGCTGCATGGAAGTCTGGCCCTGTGGGCGCTGGGCTCTCCAGCGAGGGGCTGTGTGTGGGAAGGGGGAGACCCTCCTGCCTATTCCCAGGGCCGTCAGGACCCCGGCAAGAGTGGCCAGTAGGATCCCCATGACCTGTATGCACTCACCCTTCACAGTGGCCAGGTGGTGGGTGGTTCAGGCATGGGTGGTGCCCCTGCTGGGAAGGATCCCCTGGCCTGGGTGAGGCTGGGCCCAGGATGGCCCATGGTGTCGGTCCTGCCAGCCGAGAGGGCTTTCTTGGCCCCCTGGGGCTGCAGTCACAGCTATCACACTGGGAAGCTGGTTGGTGGCTGGCAGCCGGGCTGCAACAGACAGATTTCCTGTCTGTGTGTTTTTGCAACACCTCTCTATAAAGGGAAACATAATTTAAAATATGATTACTTAGTGTTGTAACAGACGCCTCAGCCTCCGTGCTATGCCGAGATCATTATCAGAGGCTGATATTAACTTGCAAAGAATATTATGCAAATTGCCTGCTGGCTTCTCCGGGGAACCTTCTCCCAGGATGCATGTGGGGTGCAGGGCAGGTCCCTGCGGGGGGACGTCGCTCTGTCCCGGGCCTGCCAGCCACTAGTCCTAGCTCCGCAAGACAGTGGGCTCAGTCTGTCCCCTCCCTGTGTGCCAGGCTTTGCCCCTAGTCTTTGGCCGGTCTGGGGGGGGCGGTCACAGGAGGGATGGGGGAGCGGGGTGTTAGGATGGACCCAGCTTTGGGGCAGCTCTCGTCCCTAAGCCTGCCACCAGGTTCCGTGGTGCTTGCTTAGTGAGTGCCCACACCATGCCAGGACCTGGCAGGCAGGGGTGGCCCCTCACAGGGGCAGCTGTGATCCTGGTGGCTGTGGCTACTGGTGATGGGCTCTGTCGGTAATGACCTGGAGACCCAGCGCTCTAAGCACTTGTCCTTCCCTGAGGAAGGGCCTGAGGTCACAGTCATGGAGAGCGCCCCGCCCTGGGCTCAGCAGGAGCCTGTTGACCCTGTTGACGGGCCTAACAGCCTGGTTTGCAGCTTCAGGGGCTGGGGCAGCCCCAAGGGGGAGAGCGTGGACTGCCCCCTCACACCCGAGCCTCCGGAGGGGACTGGGCTCTGAGGGAGGCTCCCACCCCAAGGGCAGTGCATCCCTCCTCCCCAAGCGGCTCCCCAGCTGGTCTTGGGGGGCTGCCGGCTTTCAGATTCCTTCCAAATGCCCTCTGCCCCACTGAGTCAAAGAAATTGGACAGAGCAAGTTTGGGGTAAAAATATTTCTGACCCCACATAGCAGAAGGACCTGTATGTGGGTTCTGAGAAGTAGTGTCCGCCTGGCAGCCCTGGCAGCCTAGTGGTGTCCGACATGCCTGAACCCCTAGTGCCGCCGTGATCCCCCACACTGCCCCACCCACTCCCTGTGAAGGCTGTTGGGATGGGCAGGCGGGGCCAGGAAGCTGGGCACCTCCTCAGCAGAGTGGCCGCTGCCCCAGAGCCGGGCTTCAGAGCCAGCGACATCTTGGGGTTTGAATGCTGTTCCTCACTGTGCTGGGCAAACTCCGTGGCCATCCTGGGCCTCAGTTTCCCTGTGTACGAAGTCGGGGAAGCCGACTGTGAGCTTTAAAGGAGAAACAGGTGGGGCTCACCCTGCCTTTGGGTCGCTGGGACTGCTCGGGAGGGCTGCGTGTGTGCCTTGTGCCCGGACGCCCTGGCTGGGGGCCGGGAGGTCCCCTCTTCAGCCCCAGCACTGGCCCCTTTCCTGCTGTGGCCTGACACCCCATTCTGTGAGTGGTGCTCTGGGGGTAGCCCAGGGAGATGACTGGAGGGGGCCTGCACCTCGTGGGTACCCTGGAACATGGGGGAGGTGCCAGTGTCTGGGTGCCCGCTGACAGGCGACCACAAACCCGGGGCTCACAGAGTCAGTCCTCACATCTGGAGGCCTGAAGCCCCAGTCAGGGTGTGAGGGCTGCTCCTCCGGGGCTGTAGGGGGATCCTTGCTTCGTCCGGCTTCGGTGTTGCCCGAGATTCCTGGCCTTCCTTGACTTGTAGACTCCCTGCTCCCCCGTCTCTGCCTCGGTCGTCACATGGCCAGCTGGCCCGTGTGTCCGTCCAGACTGCCCTCTTTGGGGGCCACTGGGCGCGGGGCCCACCCTGACCAGGATGACCTCACCTCCAGGGCCTTAACTAGGCACATCTGAAAGACCCTGCTTCC